AAAAAAAAACGTACGTAAAAAAAGAAAAAGATATTATTGGGAAAGGAGAGGATCACATTTCTTTCCATTTTCAAGTTCGAATGCGATCGTTGAGAGCTTGTTGACGACGAAGTTTTCAACGACGCGTCACCGCGTTACCGCGGTATTGATATCGCACTTAGCGAATCCCCTCTATTATCTTTTTGATCTACGGATTGCGCGGCCAAATCAAAGCAATATGGCGGCTTGACATAATAACTTTTCATACGGAATACATTAATTTGGCCGAAACGGACGATCATCACAGAATCCGAGATCGAATTTCGATTGATGTGAAAGCGTGCGAGAAGAGATCTCTTGCGGTGCGCGGACCTCACTGCTCAACGTGTTCACTGGTCGAGCGAGGGTGCAGCGTTTCCACGGTGCGAGACTTGGCGCTTTCGAGATTTATTTCGCCTAACGGGCGCGGAGATGTCCTTAATTATTAAATGAGAAGTAATGATGTCGTCCAGCAAATTCTAGCACCAGCCACCGTTTTTCTATGAGGGATTATGTCGTCCACACAGAGCAAAATGCGAGGTATACAAATATCACGGTTCAAAGTAACCTTGTACTTTACGTGTTTCCCAATTTTTTCCCGTCGTTTCTTGCTGTAAATACTGGCCGTGCTTCCGTAGCCGGTAGTTCCTATCATGCGCATCACATTGCAACAAATCTAGAACATTATCATTTTAAAATGCAGGTCCTGGAAGACCACCAAAATCGAAAAACTCTTGTACGTGGTGCGGAGAGACTAAACAGCCATTGAAGTACGTTCTACCGACGCAACATGGAAAGAAGGAGTTCTGTTCTGAGACTTGTTTGTCGGAATTTCGCAAGGCTTACATACGAGGTGCCTGCGTCCAATGTGACAACGTTATCAGAGGCACACCGGTGAGATTAGAGCAAAAAGATGGACCTACAAAGGATTTTTGTTCTTCATTCTGCTTAAACAAACACCAAAAGAAGGAGGGGCAAATAGATATAAAGAAAAGTTGGTACTATATGAAAGTTAAAAGATATATTAACATGTTTTGTTTTTAATTGCATCTTTTTTTTCAAATAGGTAACAGGGATCAGGCATCACCCGCACCATCTCTTGCAACATCTGGACTGATAAGTGGAAATAATATTCCTTCTACAACTCAGTCGTTCACAAATACAAGTCATACGAATATATCTCATTCTCCGTCAACCTCCACTGGTCCATTTCAGTATGAAACGTATCAAACTTTCGACTGGGATCTTTATTTGAAGGAAACAAACAGTCAAGCTGCACCTATCGAATGTTTCAAGCAGGTACATCATAACACAAATAACACAGGAATTAATTGATTGGTTTAAAAAAAAAGTATACATATATATATATGTATTATAAAAATTAATATCACAATTACTTTTTAGCATGAGATTCCACCAACCAATGAATTCAAAATGGGTATGAAATTAGAGGCTCTTGATCCTCGCAATTTGACATCAACGTGCATTGCAACTGTAGTTGGGGTGCTTGGTCCTCGTCTCAGACTGAGGTTGGATGGCTCAGATAACAAAAATGATTTTTGGCGCTTAGTGGACAGTAATGAAATTCATCCAATTGGCCATTGTGAAAAATCTGGTGGGATGTTACAACCACCATTGGGCTTCCGAATGAATGCTTCCAGTTGGCCAATGTTTCTTCTGAAAACATTGAATGGTGCAGAAATGGCACCTGCGAAAGTATTTAAACGCGAGCCAAAAACACCGCGTTCTAATATGTTTGAGGTTGGTCACAAATTGGAAGCTATAGACAAAAAAAACCCGCAACTCATTTGCACAGCAACTGTTGGTGCAGTTAAAGAAGAGATGATTCACATAACGTTTGATGGCTGGCGAGGAGCGTTTGATTATTGGTGTCGTTTTGACTCTAGAGATATCTTTCCTGCTGGTTGGTGTTTTAAAAGTGGTCATCCATTGCAACCACCTAGGCAGAAATGTAAGGATTATAACATTTTTTTAATTTATCTCATTAACACTTTGAGTACCAAAGATTTGTATTTATAAATATGATATTTCGTTAAATAAATGAAATATATATATTTATCTACAAATTAAGACTTCAGTATTTAAATTCAATATGTTTTCAAACAAGTGCAGAAGTCATTTCTATTTGAATAATAATGTTAAAATAAACACTC